TCCACCTCCAGCTCCTCCTAGTCCATGTTCCCCTCCTCCACCTCCTCCTCCTCCTACATCCTCCTCCTCTACCTCCTCCTCCTTCTCCACCGCCTCCTCCTCCATGTTCTCCTCGTCCTCCACCTCCTCCTCCATCTCCTCCTCCACATCCTCCACCTCTTACACCTCCACGCCCTCCTCCTTCACGTTCTCCTCCTCCTCCTCCACCTCCTCCTACTCCTCCTACTCCTCCAGCTCCTCCTCCTCCACTTCCTCCTACTTCCTCCTCCTCCACCTCCTTCTCCTCCATCTCCTCCTCTATCTCCTCCAGCTCCTCCTACCTCTTCCTCCTTTCTACCTCTTCCTCCACCTCCTCCTCTATCACCTCCACCTCTTCCTCCTCCAGCTCCTCCTACCTTCTCCTCTTCCTCCTCCACCTCCTCCTACCTCCTCCTCCTTCTCTAGCTCCTCCTCCTCCACCTCTTCTTCGTCCTTCGCCTCCTCTTCCTCCATCAGTTCTTCCTCCTCTACCTCCTCCATCTCCTCCTCCTCCCCTCCCCCTCCCTCCTCCTCTTCTATCAGTTTATCCGCCTCCTCCTCCCTGTCCCTCCTCCTCCATCATCTCCTCCCCCTCCCCCTTTCCTTCCTCCCTCCTCCTCCATCAGCTCCTCCTCCTCCACCTCCTCCTCCATCACCTTCTCCTCTACCTCCACCACCTCTGCTGTCACTAACCTCAGCCTCACCTCTGCCTCCTCCTTACCTCCACCTCCTCCTCCACATCACCTCTACGTCCTCATCAGCTCCACCTCCACCATCAGCTCTACCTCCTCCTCCACCATCAGCTCCACCTCTCGTCCACCTCCATCATGTCCACCTCCATCACCACCTCCACTTCCCCTGTCCTGCACCTACCACTCCCCTCCAGCGCCTCCACTGCCTTCCAACACAGCACCACTCCTGTCCCCTCCACTGTTGCCTACAACCCCTTCTTCTGCAGCCCCACATCTCCTGTGTCAGGACTTGCTTCTACCCCACCCTTCAACCCCACCATCGCTCTGCCAGCACCGCTCTGCCCCCTCACCTCCTTGTCCCCGCACCACACACACAGCCTTCTCCTTCTCCCCAGGAGCTCCCTCTGCTCCCTCACCACTCACCCCCAACGCCCACCCCTTGCTCCTCCTCCCTCCCCCCATCCATGCTTCCACCGCATTTGTCATCTTCAGATCTGCACTCTCCACCTCTGCCCTCCACTGCCTCCACTTCCACAACTTCCCCTTGTGATGAGGCCCCGAGTAGACCCGAGACGCCCACACCTGTCAGCAGAGGCCACTGTCACCTGTCAGGGGGCAGCACCCTCGCACCCTGCAAGCCCTGCCCCGACTCTGGGTGAGGAAATCAGATCCAGCTGTGTAATCTCCCAAGTACCCAGAGGCCGGGCAGTGGGGCGCTCACAACCACGCTTACGGAGCATGAGTGCAGCACTGAGCTGCGGCGGGATGCACGTGACTGTAACTCAGAGCAAAAGCACAGGGTTTCCAGGTGAAATAAAACGCATTTTGACCCAGGGCCCCGGGGACTTGGCCAGCTGTGACTCACAGGCCTGCCGAAGGGGCAGAGGTTCCTGGTTTCATTCCCTGGATGCTCCCTCCTGTCACAAAACATCTCTGCATACCCTGAGCGTCAGGGAGTCAAAGACGCAGGCCAAGAGCCACCCACAGGCCAAGTCCCTCTGGAGGCAAAGGGAATCCAGGGCCACCTTGTTATACAAGAACAAATGACCCAAATCCTAAGACTGGGGCAAAAAACATCAAAAGGGCAGAGTGGCATGGTAGTAAACACAGCTCTGACTTGGAGAAGGTGATGCCCAGGGTCCTGGCACAAGCGTAATGGGACCAGCCCTCCGTACCACCGAGCTGCAGCTGC